ATCCTCACAAGCTTTTATTTGGATTAGCCCTGCATGGGCTTCAAACAGGAAAGGCCCTAGAAAGCTCCACTGTATTTTAAGACTAGGGTTCATCTACTGACTTGAACAGCCACACAGTATAAAGCATATGAGTCCTTCTTTTCTTGTCTAAACTATTTTGAACAAGATCTTTTTTCTTCATGCTAGTTTGGCAAGCTTCTAAGGCATTTGTGCAAAGTGATAATGCAAGAGCAACCTGATCTTAACACTGAGAAATTCATAAATAGCATCCAGCAGTAACTAAAATGAAAAATTATAGCTAAGAAATACAACCACTCTACAGTATTAGTAGAGCTACTATAGTACATAGTGCTAATGTGAAATATCTTTACTTGGAGAAACTTTACTATCTCGGAGAAACATGACTGTGAATTTCAAATACACCAAGGATTCATCTTGCCTTTTACACAAATTGATTAAAAAAAAAAAAGTGTATACATGTACAGGAAATATAGGAGTAAAATGGAATGCCAGCAATTGCCATCTCAAAACATACTACACATGTAGTCAGTATTTTGTACTAAAATAAAAGGTTAATTTTGAAGTCCAGATGGTTAACATAACTTGGTGGTCTCCATAAGGCCATTTTCAAGAGTCAAGTGCATGTTATTCAAGAGGGGGATGTTTACAAAAGCCGTTGTTTGAAGAACTGGGATAGCCAGCTGATGTCCTGTCATCTGTGCTTTTCACAGCAAGTACACACTAAAGTCACAAAAAAAAACTGCTAGAAATTATCTGTCGGTATTTCACCTCAGATTTGGGTTAAATGGCACAAAAAATACACATATGCATATGGAATGCAAGACAGTGATAGAATAATTTGTGGAGAGAGTCGAACGGAAATAATGCCTAGCTCTTAAAAATACCATTATGAAAACTTCATATATGCTTCTCATGCTCTCCTCTGAACTGCCCACAGGGTCTGCATTTACTGGAAGGAAGGTGAAGCCTTGTACTGTGCAGACTTCATGCCACACATCTCCGAATTCAGTCAGAGAAGATGCATTTCTTAGAAACACTTGAGGAGAAAAAAATCGGACAAAAACTCAGCCTTTTCTGCCGAGCCAGCTGTGAACATTATGAAGTAGCACATAAAGTGTGGTACATTGCGTCTTCAAGCACGGTAATCTCCATCTCCATGGTTGTTTCATGCTTCAGGAGACTAATGAAGTTTTAGGTCTTCTCTATTACCCTTTTTTTTTTTTTAAAACGAAACAAACCTTCCATACCTATTGTACCTCAGCTGCAGTATTATACGAGTATATGCTTAGGCAGACCAAGTGCTGCCCTGCCCAAAATAACTCACGACTTAATACGATATGTAACATTTGTAAAACAGGCACTGTGAGTTTTGGACATTATCCTGTGCTTAAAGGAACTTCTGTGGCAGTGGTGGTGGTTTAGATTTCAACCAGATGTTGGGGGAATTCAGATTTTTCTTATTTTAGACCACAACTAACACAGACCACAACAGCACAGAATGGTTTCACTGAACTTGGGGGTCAGTGTATAAAAACGGCAGGAGTAATTTTTGAAATTTAGATCTAGAACTGAGCTTGGATAAAAACACTCAGGTTTAGGTGTGCTCCTGGTTGGACCCACCTCCCATTCAATTTTTGTCTTTTTGTGACTCCAGTTTTACATACCAGCCTGTAAACGCCACTGTGTAGTCTTAGGAAGCTCACTGTATGCCTCAGTACTAGACAAAAGATCTCAGCAGGACTTCACATGAGGAACAGTTAAACAAAAATTTGTGTATGAATAAGGCACTAGTAAATGTTTGCAGCAAACAATTACAGTCTATATTCTTTAAGAATAAAGCCGTTCTCTTTAGGAAATCACCTGTAATATGACAGAGTTACCAATGCTTAGAAGGGTGTTAGAGAAAGTACATCTTTTGGATGCAAGCTCCTGTTCAAGCTGGAATTAGGGTGTGCAGTGGGGGTATTTGGGACAGCTAAAGCAAGGAAAAACTGGCCTCAGTTCTGATCAGTGCCTGCCAGTGTGAAATAACTATAATGCAAGTGCTCCAACTTCACACTGGTAGAAAGAACCGAGGTCAGAACTGAGCCTGCTCTACCAAAGCTTGTTAAACAGTAACAGTGGTAACCCTGAACAAATAATTGCCTATGATTTCCTTTAACAGATTTTAAAAAGAATCTGATTTTTCTTTCTACTTGCTTAAATCCAAGGATGCACTTTCTCTTGACTAATGTAACAGACCAAAGCTGCCTTTACTACTTTGGAGCTGCTGCCATTCTGAACAGTTACTAAATTATTAATCCAGACTTTATACCAAATGAAACTTGTGCCTGCCAGTCCCAGTGCTGAATGGCTGGCCACTCTTTCCCCGTAGAAGTTGTCCATTCATAAAAACACAGTGTACTACTACTACTACTATTAAAAAAGTACTTCTCTGTGTGAGCTTTTTTCTCAGTCATTGAAGCACCAGAATTTGATCATCAAGCCAGTAAGAATGCATGTACAAACTAATGGACCCAGTTAATCTTTATGATTGTATTACCCAATACTAGCTAGTAAAACTACTGCATCTGAATCATTCATTTGGTATATTAGATATAGAAGATCAGTGGTAACTCTGTAATTTCATGTTGTCACTCAGTCTTTCTTTGAAAACAGACAGTTTAGCTTTATCATTTGACAAAACTTGGTTCCACTGAGTTTTCTTCATTATTTGTACAAAATATCATATCAAAAACTTCACACACTTCTAGTATACCATAACGCAAACGGGGAAAAATCTTACATTGATTCATTCTTCTTATATATATTATTGCCATCAGGTATTACATCTAACAATTCAGGACAGATTTATTATTTATTGGTTTCTTAAGTAAGGACTCAGTATTAAGTTCATTGCAAGCTTTAAAATCACTCACCCATTAGAGTCCCCCTGAAACTTTACAAATAACATTCTCCTTTAGCTGCTATACTTATTTCTAAAATTATATACAGAAGAAAGAAAAAAACATCGCTCTCCTCCACAGCAACTCAGGTAATGTCCATTTTTTTTTTCTTTAGACTTGTTTGTTTCTTTTATTAATGTCAGAATATATGTTATTATTCATTGGAGTGAGGGAAAGCTAATAAATTGCACGGGTTTAATCTTAATATTAGCAAAACGTTACTGAGCATTAGAATTGCAGAATATTTTCTGCTAATGTTGACAAAGATTATAGACTTTTTTTTCTTGTTACTTTCTTTTATCATTGAAATGATCCAGATCTGGGAAAGTCCGAAAGAAATGAACATTATTTACCAAAATGGGCCTTTTGCATTCATAACTGATTTTGAAATATATCTCTAGCTGGCAATTGTCAGAAAATGACACTCTCTTTTTAGGATTTCCTAAACTGTGCTTAATTTAAAATCAAACCTTCCTCTGCTCCTGTTCAACCCCCACCTTGCTAATTTGCAAGTGAAAATTGTGTCTGAAAGTCAAGCTACTTTTTAAACTTGTTATTAAAACAGTCCCTTGGGACATTTTTTTTTTCTCCTTTCTCCGTTATCCCATGTGCCTCCAGTGCCTATGTGCCAAAGTGTGCCTTCAACAACACACAGCCTGGTGAAAATGATCTGCATTTCAGAAGAAGTTTAGGGAATGTTTTAACGAAACGCAGAACGCAGCTTGCTCTCGCAGCCGTATTTCTTCAGCAGAAGTTGAAGAACAGGAAGGAAACTTTTCTGTTAAGAAACTAAGCTGATACAGCTCAGACTGGGAAAAACAAAAAAAGCACTGTCAAAGATTTTGCCTTTTTTGGCCTTTTTTTAAGAGCAAATTTGCAGTTTTACAGAACTTTGCTTCTTTCTGCAACTGAGCTGTTTGTAGAGGCACATTATTTAACACCAAATAAAACTGGCCCAAATGAAAGTATCGCATTTCTGTTTGTGCTGATGTGTTCACCTACATGGTGATATATTAACTCTAGAGTACAACTTTCCAAGATTTTTTGAAGTGACAGCTAACAAAAAGAATTTAAAGGCGTAAAATCAGCAAAAATTGAAGTATGGTCAATTAACTACTACTGTATGGTTTTACACAACCCCCGACTTTTCTTAAAAGCAGTATTTAATACTAATATATGCATTGGTTTAATCCTATGTACACAACTGCTGACTCTCACTCGATAAATGTCTAAATTGGGAAGATAGATAAACAAACTTCAGATTTCAGGAAAAGTCAGTCCTTGATTTTTACCATACTCACAATACAGAAAATTTCTTAGTTAGATACTAGTATATTTAGAAGCAAGTGCTATGTTGAAAGAAATCCAAATTACTTAGAAATCCATTTGTCTGGGAGGCTGTAGGGATTATAATGAATTTGATTAGACCAATCCCCATTCCTCAAAACTTTCTGATACTCTTATGAGATGAATGCATTACCAGTCATGTAACTCTAATCTATTTTAAGGATAGTTAGAAAACTTGGAGAAAGAGTGATACTCAAACTATGTGCTAAGAACTAGTAAAAGTCTGAATGACTGGCCATTCATTTAAAGGGAATGATTTATACGGACAAATGTTTGCTTGTTCCTTCAATAGGGGAGATTTCCCATCCGTTTATAAGTCAATAATAACTGCTCGTGGAATGCCATTTTGCAGCTTGAATCTTGGTCCTGCCTCTGGGTTCATTCCAGCCAGGATAGGAAGTAGGGAAGGTCCTAGAACTGAAAATCTGATGCATGCTCTTACATTCTAAAGAGGAACTTTAAACGTAACATGGTAGCAGAAACTGTGTTCAGTGTCAGAAGTGACAAATTTGAAAGTCTTAAGTAATGCAATATAGAGAATATAGTTTAGACTTTTTTTATATAAGTGTGCTTTTCCTAAAAACAAAAAATCCCCCAAACCAAACCCCTTTTTTTGCTGTTTTTAAGTCTTTTTTTTTCTACAAGTATGAAATAGGGCTACGTCCTTCATTCTTCATTGCCATACTAACCAGTAGAATAGTCTTTCTAATTCACATTGCTCATGGCAGTCTTATTTGATGCTGATTTATTAAGTTTGTGATTAAAGCAGTTTGGGATTTTTGTTGGTTGTAAACTTTTGGCATAATGTGAATACCAGTCCCTTTCAAAAACAGCTTTGAGTTGCTTAATGATGCTTGTGCTGTTCCCCGCGTCTGCTTGGTTGATAACAAGGCCAGCTCCAGCATTCTGCGTAAAAGCATTTCCTACCCAATCAAAATTACCTACAAAGAAATGCAGGAATGTAAAATGAGTTTGAACATTTTTTTTTTTAGAAAATCAATCAAACAATAACAACAACAAAAACTTGATTTACCAAAGGCAATACAGCATAATAAAGTATAATTCTCCCCCAAACCTACTTAGAGATCTACCAGACATATACGGAAATCAGTTTTTGATATTGACAGGAAAAGAGAATAATCTCTCATCATGTACCAGAGTGCTGTGCAGATGGTTTGTGCAAATTTAGCAACTCTCATCCATCACAAGCCAAAACAGAGCCTTTTATTTATTAAAAACTATATTGTTCTTCCTTTTGTATATACTATACTATACTATGTTATTACTCTATATACATTCCTCACCAGCCTTTTCGGTGCCAAGGATAAAAATATTCTTGGCTGTATAAATGACTTAACATACATGGGATGGATAGTGGTTGCTCTGTAATGCAAAGCCATATCAAGAGATCCTATACAGGTTACCGGCTGACAGACGCTCTTTCAATAAAAGAAAGCAGATTCTATTGTTATTTTATTCCAGTTACTACCCCTTGGCTGCGTGAAGTCTTAAGGTAATGAATGAGCATTTCAAATCCTGGCGATAGCAAGGTAAGAAAGGATAACTGGATTAATGAAAAAACATACAAAACAAATATATCGGTTATAGCTGCAATAAAATAAAAATAAATAGATATTTGAGTTTTATTGTACAATGCATTATTTTTCTCCAGATACTGGATAATAGAGGTTATCTTCTAAAATAGAATGTCTGGACATACACGCTTGAAGGAATGTGGGAACTGCACACCCCTTCCTTTGAGAGCCATGTTCAGTTACTGCAAAGGGAAATGTAAGAATTCTGAAATTGTCAAGAACTGTAAATCACGTTCTGATCATAAGGAACGTTTCTTCATATACTTTCAAGGAAAAGATGCATCAGGTCTTTAACCGTGTGCATTTGTATTCCTAGCACCCAGCCTCGTTTTTTTCTTTATTTAAAAACAAACAAAAAACACATTACACAGCATTACTGTGGAATGTATGCCAAGATGCAATTATCTGTATGACATGAGAGGCACAAAGGAGGAAAGGAGAAGGGAAGGAATAAAAGCAACTTGGGTAAGAATGCATGCTGTGTAGACACTTCAAGTTACTGACATTGGATCTGGGCATTGAAAAGCTTTTTAAATGAAGTAAAATGAGGACAGTGTGACTCATAAAACATTTGAGAGAAGACCTGAGAGGATTAAGATTTACTACTGAAAGTGAGAAAAAAAAAAAAGATTTGGATAGGTAAAGAAACTAGGGTGCCAAAATACTAAAGAGAATGGAGAAATGGCTTTTGTGAAACAAAAGTGACTTAAAATAATGAAAGGGAATTTTTAGGATTCGGTAGTACTCCACAGAGTATCTTAGGTGACAGAAAACTTTTAATGATATCTCTATGGCTTCTGCAAGTCATAGCTATGATCTTGTGATGACAGTTTTAAAGGGTGGATACTACATCCTGGTCCACATATTTAATTCAAGGCATGGTCTAAGAAACGGGGATATACTGAAGAACCCATTAAGGTGAGCTTCTAAGGGGAGCTCTCATACATCTCTAGTCCCTTTGTGATTCTCCATTATTTATCCAGGTGACCAGAAACATTTCTGGGTTGCAGTCGCCCTAGCTCCTGTTATGACCACGGGCTATAAGCTCTACAAAAACTCAGGAGGAGCAGGCAGGCAACTAAAGCAAGAGTTGCAGCTCTTAGAATGCGTTTTTTCTTTAGACTTTATAGAATCTCTCCTGAATTATATTTTATTTCTGTAATAGTTTTCTGGTCCTGGAGCAGAACTCAAGCAGTCTTTTTTTTTTTTTTTTTAATTTAGCTGTTATTCATGAGCACTGATCGATAAAGAACCTTTGTTAGCTGTTGCACACAAATGTATTATTTAAATACATCTTTAACCCACAATGAATTTTTTCTTATCTATTAGAAATGCACCTAATGTTAATAAAGGGTACCTGAAATATATCATTACTGTATACAGTGAATAAGATGACTCAGAAGAGGAGGAAGACGACAGCCATTTTTCTAATATGTATCTTGATGACCACTTCTTTCATAAGGATGTGGAAAATGGAGAATAGTCCACCTTCATTCAGGTGATGGACATTATGTTGATCACCCAGCTTATTCGGTCATCCTGTGTTTGTGTTTTCACTCTGCTTCTAAATACTGAAAACACGATGCTGCTTTTGGGGAAATTGATTCATAGGAGGAAGCAGGGCGTAACTTATCTTAACAATTTTTTTTAATGATAAATTTCATCTTGCCTTAAAACCTTAGTCTTCATCCAGGTTCTTAAAGATGTGAGTTGAGTCCACGATTTTTAATATAACAAATATATCAGTTGCAGATTTCTCACTTACAAATGAATATTATTTTGGACTTTTGGCTACAAATAAACTAGAACTTCTTGAAATGTAGTTACTTACCAATGTATGCAGCTCCATCAGTCACCATATATTTGTTACGATTTAATTTGGGGAGGGAAGCATTCTTCTGTTCTTTAAGAAAGCAAGCACTTTCTTCTTCAAGGTCAAAGAATTTCTGCCATAAAACAGATAGGAAATAAGGTTTTTTTTTTTT